AGCCTCCCGGCGCGGCGCTGCTGCGCGCCCGGCCGCGGCGGAGGTGCCCTTCCCTCCCTTCCTGCCGCTCTTTCTCGATCACTCTTTCTCTCTCCTCGGCCGGTCCTCCCCGGCACGGCCCCGGGACGCCAACCGCCATTCCCGGGGCCAGGAAGCAAACCCTCCCCTGCGTCTGTCCGTCCAGGTCATGGCAAAGGGTGGAAAAAATGGGAAGGGGGCTGAGAAACAACCAAGAAGTCGCTAAGTCCCGTCGGAGAGAAACCCAGCTCGGGAGACGAGCGGTCGCCGCCGGAGAGGGGAGGGAGGGGGGAGGGAGAGCGAGCTGGAGAGGAAGGGAGGTGGGAGGAAGGGAAGGTGAGGGCGAGGAGATTTACTCCCCCCCCCTTCTTTTCAGTGCGAGGTTGGTGGTCATTTGCAGTTTTGCAGAGGAGAGCGGGTGGAGATCACTGGTTAAAACTGTATGCAAAAGCAGGCGGCTGGAGTGATCGGCAATTCCTCTTTCTTTCTTTAAGGCAACTCCCGAGGAAGGCTCTGCCCGCCCGGCTCCCGCCCCCTTCCCCGCCGGAGGCGCAGCTCGCGGCTCCCTCTCCGCTCTCCCCGGAGCGCGGCCCGCGCCTCGGCACCCCGAGAACGGGTGGCTGCGGGGGCCCACCGCCCGGCGCGCCCCAGCCTTGGCGTGCGGGCTCCGCGGCTGGTCCTCAGGCCGAGCTCTCGGACGCTGGGAAAGAGGGGCTGCGCGTGGCTGCTGGGCAGTGATGGGAACCAGCCTACTGTCATTGCAAATGACAGCCACCTCCACGGTCTGAGTGATCTGAAGATGCGGGTAGGTTCTCAAGTCAGTGACAACAGCTCCAAGGTTTTTTTGTTTTTTTTTTAAACAGAGAACCTAAGCCTTCCCTGCTGGAAAATCTCAGCAAGTTACCTAGACTGTATGAGCGTTAGTAAAGAGGAAGGGGGAGGGGCGTCCATGTTTTGAAATTTGTTACTTAAAAAATAAACCCATTGTTTGAGAGTATCAGTCAACAGTTGTTGATGGTGGATGGTAAATTACACTGAGATTAAGTGACTCCAGGTTTACAAAGTTAGGAAGCCCAAATAGTCATAGAGTAATATAAAGAAGTCTCAAGGGGAGATGGTGAGGACAAGTAGGTTAACACTAGGAAAGATCTCAGAAGACTGTCTAAGGTTGTGGAATGTCACGTCTACCATGAAGAAGGCTTATGAGAAAAAAATCAGGACCCTAGTTATTAACGTTTAGAGGGTACACTGTTCGTGTACTGTAGTAATGCAGTACTGAGAAATTTAAGGAAAAATTTAAATCTAACCTTTTTTTCACATTCTGGAACATAATTCAATATCATTTCAATAGACTTAAAAATCCATCACTGCTGGGGCTAGTTTCTATTTATAGTTAGGACAAGAATATGAGAGTCTACTCTTGTTCATTTTTAAGGTAGCTTAGATGTCATTTGCCCTCAGTAATAAGAGTATCAATAATCCAATTTTGTCTTAATTGTCTCAGCATTCTAGGTTAAAGAGTACTTATAGCCTGGAGTATTTGGATAATTGGTTCAAAATGCCACTATATTTTGTATGTAGAAATGAGGCACCATAAAAAATAGCCAAAGGAGATTCTTGAGATAAAATTAATTCATGGGAGTAGGGGAGAAGATGGCTTAAGCTTTAAACTTAGCTTCATGGGAAACAATCTGCTCTAGTTAGAGGCAGGTATTAATATTATGAGATAAACGGATATGAGGAGCTGTGATGATACAGCTTTTCCCATCAGATGCCCAGAACTGTGCTACCACATGGAGAACAAGTTGGGCAGCTAGTCCATGGCAGTGAGCACCATCTGCTTAATAATTAAGGTAACAGGAGCAGCAATGCCTTTGCCAAAGACAAATGAGCCCCCTATCATGCACACATACTTTTTTGAGTTCCTTTTTAGACATATGATTCGTATGCCAGAACCTACCTGGGACACTTCAGAGTAAAAAAAAAAAAAAAAAGGTTGGAAAATCATGCTCATATCCATTGGCATCAAAAAGAGCCTATTAAAATAAAAAACTGAAAAAAATCTGGGCATATATCAAGTCAGAAAGAAAGACATAGGGGAATTTTAATATTTCAATTTTTTTGTCCCCAACTCCACAATGATCTCAGTTCTTTAGAAAAAATAAAAAATCACCCAAAAAACTGAACTTGCAAGAGATTAAAAAACTGTAACAAAAAGAAAATAAAAATGACACTTGTTAACGGCAGCAAAGCAAAAATACTAGGTCTGTATATTAAATAATGACATTCTTGAGGTGTTAATAGTATTACAGAGGCAATGTCCTGGCACCTGAGTTTCTCCTAATTCTCAACATATATTGCAACCAGAAAGTGATTTGTCACACCAAAAAGAAAGAAGGTAGGTTCCACCCCTCCACCCTCTTCCCCATTACCATCTAGAACCTGGAAGCAGATGAATGAAAACAAAATACTTAGTAAAGCTGCAGCGCTATACTAACAAAGAAGTGACTAACATCGTTTGAAGCATATTGAATGACATAAGATCCAAGACATAAAGTGGACATTGAGCAAGCACACAGAAATAATAACTGCCCATTTTCTACAGATACTGACGAGTCTAATTTAAGAAAGTGACAACACCGCCAAGGGAAAAGAAAACTGTGGTATGCAAAGGAAAATAGAATGTGGAAATGGAAAGAAAAAATCAAATTTAACTTGATAAAGCTCCCCACCTTGTCAAATCTAGGGAATGTATTTTCCTTAGTACTTTATAAAGAGGATCTAGAAATTAACCCCCTTCCTATCTACAGATCTTTAAATATCTGGCTCCTGCTCCAGTTCTCACCTCAGACATTACCTTCTTATAAAGGCTTTCCCCTGATAATCTGATAAAAAAAAGTTTTGGGATTCCATGGGCACATACATATTTTGTGACTATCACACTATCCTGTTTCGTTATATCTGTAGCATTTGTCACTACATAACATGGCTTGTTCACGCATTTGTTTTCTTGTGTACGACATATCTCCCTTCACTGGGGTCTAAGTGCCATGTGAACAAGTACCTGCAATGACCAGAATAGTGTCAGTAGAAGCTCCATGCATACTTGATGAATAAATACTTGATGAACTAATGAATGAATAAAGGAAGAAAAAATAAATGAAAAAATCTCTATTATCTTATTAAGTCCTAGGTTAAAGACGATCTCCACATAGCTTTATATGTAATTGGTCAAGTGGCCAGATCCTTTAAAATCTTGTATTGAAGACTCTGTTGCCCAGAGTGGGCCAATAGGCAAAATCATGCAAACAGCACTTTTTACATAATGTTGCTTATTAAATAATGGCTATATAAATTACTCATTTATAAGAGAAATATAAAGTTTTGAAACTTTGCATTGATTCTCAGATGAAATGTCCAAAATCCAGAGTGGTTTTCTAGTAGGAACAGGGAAAAGGCGGTTTAAACATGCATCTGAGTAGCAGGTCGGCTGAGAAATCCAGAATTAGAAGATGCCTGAATGTAAATGACTGACTAAAGACTCATACCTCACATCACAATCTATAATACAGCCTCCAATTGCAGAGGACAAGGCTACTTATTAAGGAGGCAAGAAATCACCGGCATGGAAGCAGGGCACAGAGTACCTGAGTCAAACAAAAGAACATGAATGCATTCATTGTATGTCTGTTTATTCACATTTATACATTTATTGTGTATCTGCTGTATACAAATAGCAAAATACGACAAATAGTATGAGTGACAAGAGCTTTAAAATTGCTTATATTACTATTTTAAAGAGTTTTATTAAAATAATTATTTGATTTCTCTACTTAGCAGCACCAGCACTGCAAGTTTAATAAAATCTTTCTGTGGTGATTCAGTCTTGTAATGTGTCTGATCCATCATTATGAATAGTAATTTTTAATTTATCTGTAGAAGTGAATGGTGGTAGAAGGATGGGGGTTGGACTGAATGTGAACTGATTTCTGTTCAGTAACAATTACTTTAAAAGTAGTCCTAATCTCAAAATGTAAACAATATGTTGACCAAAGCCTGAGAGTAATAAAGATTTACTCTTGTGCCTTATATTTTTTAAGACTATCCACTTTAAAGAAACAAAACAAGAATTCTCTTCCACTGGATGCTGGGTAGAGCCAGACAAGCATTGTATTAAAAAAATCAAAGAAATAAAATATTTTGTTGTGGGAAAAGGTGGGCAGACAGCATGTAATAGAGGAAGAGTTGGCAAGAATTTTCAGTAAATTATCTTCATGAATGATTTTCAACCGATATTTACTATAGTCTGCACATAAATGGGCCACTTTATTAATAAAACACCTTAAGTCCTACTTCATGAAAAAAAATGAATCCTACTAAAATGTAAAAGGAATATGCGATAGCATTTTAAAAATATACTTTTAGGGGAGAAGTAGAAGAAAGAAAATACAGTGCCTGCCAAATAAATTACTGATAAATTGTCTAAGACTCAGCTCTTGCTGACTTCATAAGCAAATATCTCAGTTCTACAGCTGCTACTAATGTGCAGGCCATTCTAAAATATTAGAACTTAAGGATGATTTGTGTTTTCAATTAGAGCACATTTATAGAGAAACATTTGAGGGTTACTTGATAGAAAGGAAAATGCAACTATTCCAACACCACTGAATTTTAAAGTTAGTTTTTATTTTACCATCAGAAGTTATAATAGCACCAAAACTATTACATTTTGTGATGTGCTAGCAGGATGCCAGGATAAAATTTCTATGTAACCCAGGAACATCTTTGATCTATAAAATTAATCCTTTTTATATGAAACCTACCAGTGTATCTAAAGGTTAATAAAGTGTTTTGAGCTTCTTTATCATCTTGGAGGAAATTATTCTCAACCAAATGTCTAGAATTAGAGAATTGATGGAAGGGGAGATAAAAAGAAATAATATAGATAATTTAGTAATTGAAAACCTATCCTGAACAATCCATCACCCACTGCTCTTTTCCTTTAAAACTAACCTAAGGATAAAGCACATTTAAAAATAGAATAAAATTATAAAGTGGATTCAAAACTTACAAAAAGAATAAATTACACAATTTTGGAAATATTCTAATACAACATCTATAGCAAGCTTTGTAGTTTTAAAATAAATTTATATTCATTATCTTATTTAATCTTCACAATATATGTGATGTCAATGAAACACATTTTACACAAAAGGAAGCCAAGACCCAGAGGGATGAATTTACTTAAGCTAATAAAACAGCAAAGAGAACAGAACCCAACTCTCCTGATTTTTGTTCCAGGGCTGGTTATTAATTGATACAAGATGTCATCCCCAGTATAATTTGAATCTAAAAGCATTTAGGCCCCAGCTGGTGTGGCTCAGTTGGTTGAGCATCCTCCTGAGCACCAAAGGGTTGCTGGTTGGGTTCCTGGTCAGGGCACATGCCCGGGGTTGCAGCTCGATCCCTGGTGGGGGCATGCAGGAGGCAGAGCTCTCACATGGATCTCTCTCTCTCTCTCTCTCTCTGTCTCTTCCTCTCTCTAAAAATTAATTTAAAATGTTAAAAGAATTTAGGAGTCACCTTCTGTTTTTGACCTGATCAAAATTCTTACTGCTTAAAAATTTTGGAAAACACACTACACTAAAAATTTTTTAATTTAGATATAATTCACATAGCATAAAATTTACCCCTTTAAATTAAGTGTAAAATTCAGTGGTTTTCGATGTATTAACAAAGTTGTGCAATCATTGCTACAATCTAATTGCAGAACGTTTTTATGGAAATTCTGTTTCCATTAGTAGTCACTCATTCCTCATTTTCTCCATCCCTAGGCAACTACTAATCTACTTTCCATCTCTATGGATTTACCTGTTTGAACATTTCATGTAAAGGAAACCGTACAGTATGTGGCCTTTTGTGTCTGACTTCTTTCACTAAGTATGTTTTCAATGTTCATCTGTTTTGTAGCAAGTATTGGTATTCATTTCTTTTTATGGTTGAATAATATTCCATTGAATGGATGTCATTATAAGAGTTCTTTATATATTCTGGATACAAGTCCTTTATCAGAAATGATTTGCAATATTTTCTCCCATTCTGTGGGTTGACACTTTCTTGCTGAAATCTTTTAAAGCATAAACATTTTACATTTTAATGAAGGCCAATTTATATATATATATTTTTTTCTTTTCTTTTGTTGCTTGTGCTTTCAGCATTGTATCTAAGGAACCATTGTAAAATCCAAGGACCTGAAGATTTACTCTTGTGTTTTCTTCTAAGCATTTTATATTCTTATCTCTTACATTTTGCTCTTTGATACATTTTGAAGTAATTTTTGCATATGGTGTGATGTTGGGGTTCAATTTCTTTCTTTTGTATGTGGATGTCTAGCCGTCCCAACACAATTTGTTGAAAAATTATTTTTTTTCCTAATTGGATTGTTTTGGCTCCCCAATACCTTTAAGAGACAGATAAGAGAGAGTTCTTAATCTTAAAAAGCTTCCACATTATATGTCAATTAAATTATAATAAAAATGAATAAAAAAAGAGAAAGCACTGAAAAAAATCTACCTCTTCTCAAATATATTTCCCAGTTCTGCTTTTGGAGAAATGTAAAAGAAAACTTTGTTACTTTCTATAAATAGAAGCATTTAAAATATTTGAAATCTTTTATGAAGTCTTATTTACTTCAAGAGAGGAATTCCTAGTTTATAGAACAATTTTTGGCCAACATGAATTTTGGTCCTTCAATATCGTTGTAGACTATTCATGCCTGCTTGTCAGCATCATTCTGGAACACTGATTTTGCTGATGCAGAAGAGAGCAAAACTATTATATTACTTCCCATGATCATGGATACATATTTATACTAATGGGATCCTAAAATTCTATTAACTGTGTTCTCCAGTTATATCAATGCTATTGTTGCTCATAGTTGTTGGTTCACAAAATGACACCTGTACACAGAAGGCAAAGAGAAACAATGGACGAGGGCAGCCCACTCCAGATTGCAGGTGGCAGGTTTAATAAGCAAGGGAACTTGCATACAAGGCTTTTCTTGAGCACCCACAAGGTGAGTAGATCTCTATACCTATCAGCCAGAATCGTAAAAGTTTATACAGAGGCCTTGACGGGGTTCAGTCACATATACCATCCAGATGATCTCAACGATACATTGCTCTCTAAGGCTGTGTCTTTGGGGCAACTTCTGGTGTAGGAAAGACAACAAGAAAGCATGTTCCAAGGACAGGAGTGAGGAGCCTCTGATTGCTTGGGCCCAGCTCCTGGATCAATCAGAAGTCACATCCTATAGATGACTTCCTCTAATAGTAATTCATTTAAACTACCAGAATTCTAAAAATTAGATTGCAGCAAGAGACAGTCCTCTCATTACTTGTTATGATTCTTTCATAGTGCACGTTAGTCAAAAACGAGGGTCTTCTAGGTAAAACAGCATTGCCAGTAAGGTATGTCTAGAGTTTATAAAGTATATTTGGTAGAATACTAATCAGCAATTTGAAAAAGGAAAAAATATTGATACACACACTAACTGGGATACATTTCCAGGGAATTATGCTCAGTGGAAAAAAGTCAATCCCAAAAGGCCAAATATTGTGTGGCCACTTACATAAAATTTTTGAAGTGAAAAACTAATTACAGATTAGTGGCTGGCAGAGGTCAGGGAGGGGGCTGAGTGGGAAGGAAGGGAGTGTGTCTACAAAAGCGCAGCTGGGGGGCCCCTTGCAGTGCTGAACCTGCTCTGTCTCTTGAGTGTATCGAGGCCAGTATCCTGCGTGTGATATTGTACCATAGTTTTTCAAGACATTACCATTGGGGGAATAGGGTACATAAGTCTCTCTGAATTATTTCTTACAACTGCATAGGAATCTACAATATAAAAAGAAAAAAGTCTATTTTACATGATCTCTGATACTAGTAAAAGGAGGAATCGCCATTATCTCTTTCTGTGCTTAGGTACTCCACTGAAAAACATAATGGCTATCTCTATACTGTTCACACTTTGGAATTATTTCAATGTTTGGTTGATTTGTTTTGAAATAATTGCTAAATATCATGTAAATAAAATAAATGTATAAATAAAAACATGTAGAACATAAAATAGTTTAATCTTTTGGCTATTGCAAAGTACTTTGTCCTAAAAATTACTTATAAATATTTAAGTATATTTTATGGTTTGCTTTCAAAGATGATTTATTAACATTCACTATGAAATATATGAAATGGGTGAAGCAGATAATAGCATTCTGATTGGATAAATATAGAAACAGAGGCACAGGTATTTCAGGTGTCTCACTTAAGATACTCTATAGTTTAGTCTGTATTCCAGATCTGTTGATACCATAATCCAGCAATTATGTATTTTTCATCTTCAAGTAAATGTAGTTAAAGAATGCTGGCACTTGACTAGTTTTTCTACACTCCTTCCACTTACAATGTTCTTTTTATTTGCAGTTGCATTGAATCTTACAGATCTAGGACTATTTGTCTCTTAAATTCTTGCCTCCCCCAAAGCATTAGCCCCCAAAGGGCAATCTCATTTATGACTATGGCATATCTGGTTGGCTTGAACACAATAACTATGTTGTAAGAGTATTAAAAAAAAGTTTTAAATGCAGCATTAAAAAATAATTACCTACAGGTAGAAACTGTAGAAAATAACTAATCTGTGTCTAGATAACCCTCATTTATTCTTAAAGACTTAAACTCAAATACGAAAAGCTAATATGGAGTTCAGAAAAGCAAACACTGTCTGGGATTCTCAATATAATCAATATCTCACATTCAGGTACCAAGAAAAAAGTGCCATGTCAGTTAATCTGAGTTGTTCTCTGCCTGAAACTGTGAGGCATTTTTTTCGTCCTATTGGCACCACAGAGCTATGGTAACTTTCCACAGAAATGGCAAATTACATACACAGCTTAGGCTCAATGATTTCCTTTAACCAAAATCCAGAAAAGGGGCATTTTGAGCTCAGTAAGAATAGTAAGTGATGCAGTGTGGTTCTCCTTCCACCCCAGAAAAGGAGTGACTCTAAATAGAGCCAAAGGAATGTGGACATTCCCTCTGATAATCACTTTCCTCTCTTTGACCTAATCTTTATATTGATTTTATTTTTTAACTTTTTTTTTCTTTCTAAAGGCCTAGTTCACTTACTACTAAGAATACAGTTGAAATTATTGCTCTAATTTTTGTGATTATAATCAATGCATTACACATAAAGTTATGGGTGACTCATAACTAAGTGTTCTGGAAGTTATAGGCGACACATAGCTAAACAGAGTTAGGGAGATCTTTCAGATTATTCTAAATTAAAAAATTATTATCATTCACTATATATCTTATTCCATTTACAATCCCAAATATCAGTTATTCAAGGGACTGAAGAAAAACCCAGATAAAACCCTTAAAATACAAGTATTTTCATCACCATGTATAAATATTGGAGCAGTTCCTTAAATTAACCCTAATTATATAAGCTTAATAAGAAAAGAGACGTATTCCTCACCCACAAATACATGTATATCCCAATAAAAAAAGTTACTCAAACAGGTGTTTTGTCTTGCTACTTCATAAAATAAAAGTTTAGGATAAAATTTTAAAGCAAACTATCAGAATTTTCTCCCATAGAAATGTTAACCATCTCCCTGAAATTTTCATGTGTATTCTTTTACTAGAAATTACTAAGAAGCTAATATTGCTACCCAACTGGAAGCAGACTGTAGAACACAAGGATATATCCTTAACCTTATAAAAAAGCCCTGGAATTTTTAATGAGCAGAAGTGGTCAGAACCTCAGTCACACATCTCATCCAATAGATGGTTCTCCTGCACCACAGTGCTCCATAACCCAGGGCTGAGAGTTGGCTCCGGACCACCTTGGGATGGAAGAGGGCCACCTACTGAATCACCGCCACCACATCCTGCAGCATCTTCCATCCAAGTCTTCCCTGGGCCCACCCCTGCTGAACTCGCAAGGTCTGAGGAGATCATAGCTTTACAGCATTTCATTACAGATTTTAAATGTCCAATCTCTGGTTTTCCTATTGCATTTCAAGATCAACATCCTTATTAGCAGAAGTATATTTTTTACTTTAAGATTTTATAACACCTTTTCCACTGAGAAATTCAAAGCAGGCTACTAAACTTCATTACCACACAGGCAGAAATCCTTACAACACCTCCATGAAGGAGGTGTTAGAAAGAATGAGAGAGAGAGGTCAACATCACCTCCTCTTACAAAAGCCCAATCCTTAATAATTAATGAATGAAAAGACATCTTAAATCCAGTGGTCACTGGGAGTAATTGGCATATATTTTCTCAGCTGCCTCTAAATTAAAATGGTAATAATTTAACCAATATATTTGGGCTGTCAGCTAAAATAAGTTCCCTCTTGCACCCAAGCAGTAGAACTAAATGGGATCTGAACAGACTACTCTCTGTTTACCACTTGATTGCAGAAAACTCACACGTTGTGCTCAGTAACTGAGCACTTCAAGTCCTGCTCACATTTACAACTGCCTTTCTCTGTCCTCACTGAAGAGATCCTGAAAACTGGGAGGACGTGGGTTGTATTGGCTTTGCTTTATTTCCTTCCCTCTGTCCTCAGGCCTTCCTTATGTAAAAATTGTTGGTGTCCAAATGATAACATAAAATAAAGGATAAAATAAAATAAAGAATACTTTGAATGATAAAAGCAGTAGAGCCCAGATATCAAGACAAAATATGTATCATTAATGCATAGTTCATAGTATAGCACAGCACTCTCTGCCTCATATCTAATGCCCCTCCAGCATGTGGGTTTTTCCCCACACTATCAAGCAAGCAATTCTCGAACACCAGCTGGGTATCCTGCAATCCAATTCAGTCCTGACACTGTCTACTTGGAGGTAGCATCAGATCCTACAGGTTAAGGGCTTCTTCCTACAAGGCATCTCCCACACCCCACTATAGAAACCAGTTGAAAGTCCAGATGATCACCAGTGCTTCAGACCAACCAGCTATACACAAAGGTTTCAAATGACTTCCTTCTCAGAATCAATTAATTTGTTAGAGAGGCTCACAGAACTCAGAGAAACATTTTGCTTACTTGTTTACCAATCTATCACAAAAGGATATAAGTCAAGAATAACCAAATGGAAGAAATGCACAGGGCGAGCTATGCGGAAAAGGCCAGAGCTTCTGGACTCTCTAGGTGTGCACCACTCTCCCCAACTCTCCCTGTGTTTCCCAACCTGGAAGTTCCCTTACCCTCTCCTTTTGGGTTTTTATGGAGATTTCATTAATTAGGCATACTTGATTAAATCACTGGTCATTAGTTACTGATTTAACCTCAAGACCCTCTCCCCTCTCTGGAGGTCAAGGCGGTGAGACTGAAAGTTTTAATTCTCTAATCACAGGATTGGTTCTCCTAGCAACCAGCCTCCATTCTTAGGTGTGCTTTCCAAAAGCCACCTTATTAACATAACAAAAGACTCCTTTATTGCTCTCAACACTTAGGAAACCCAAGAGTGTTAGGAACTCTGTACCAGAAATAGGATGAACAAGAATTGTATCTTTCATATTATAAATCATAATATCACAGCCCTCATTTATAACAAATACTTTGTACTATCAGTCTAACAGACATTGTTGTACACATCACCAGCTTCTTATTGCTAATCTATGCCTGGGTACTTTTTCTGGCTGCAGAGAGTGCTAGTCTCACACACACTGTGGCAAGCCAGAAGAAGCTAGCCTGTTAGGATGTTAGAGTGAGCTCATAAAGGTTCAGAGAGATGGGAAGGGAAGGGTGTTTAGGGCAGAGCCTCCACCTGGGGACCCAGTCAGGATCTCAGTACACCTAAAACTTTGCCTGCTGCCTGGTCATATTGGGCATCTCATGACAGTAGACCACTAAAGAAAGAAAGGAGTTGCTACATTGATTATCCTGAGGATATAGCTTTGCTACTGCTTAATAGGAGCAAGGAGTATGACGAACTCAAGGAATTCGCTGAGGATCCTCTTGGTGCTTTCTATCCCAAAGGATAATCTGACAAGATCAAGGCAATTTAGGTCTCAGGGCCCTCGTGGATCTAGGTCTGTGATCTATAAAGCAGGAAACTAGGCCAGCAGAAGTGCTGGCTGAGGGGCAGGAGGCTCTAGAATGGGTGGTAGAAGCAGCAGCTTTGTTTTAAAAATTATGTGAATGTGTGTGCAGAGACAGAGAAGGGAGAGGACAGAGGGGGAAGGAAATAGGTAAGGGAACAGATTAACTTCTAGCAGGGCAGGAGTGGATCTGGGCAGTGCAAGAGGTGAACTATAGCAGATGTGTGTCCCACTCATCAGCGCTTACCTTCCCTGAAAATGCCTTGCAGCCTCTTTTTATAAACACTTGTGCCTACCTGCATGGGGTCTTACTTTAGCTACAGGTCCATGCTTGGCCAACACTTGAGACAAGCCAGAAGTACTTGAGAGCTAATGTCCCTAGGAGTAGCCGTCAATCAATAACAAATGGGAACAATAAATTAACACTGTCTTCCTTACACCTCAGGTGAGCTACTTGAGAGTGCTCTGCACCAGGTCTCTGAAGCTGCCAGTGAGATTGTGCTCCAGCTGCCCATTGATGGGAACCTGCTATTTAATGCACCTGCTTTCTTTCCTTTCCATCGTTGTCTCACTTCCACACTCCTCCACCAGTGAATCCTGAGGATTATTTCTCAAATAAATTTCTTACATTCAGATCCTTGTCTCTGGGTTCGCTTCTTTTTTTTTGGGGGGGGGGGATGCTTCTTTAGGGTTCCTAAGCTGAAACAATCACCTTTACTTTACTAAAATAAAATTCATAGATAAGGTAACCTACCCACCTAGATAATTTCAAAACTTTATACAATCTCCCAGTTTTAATATAGAGGAGACAGCTCACACCTGTTGTGATGGCTGTTATAGAAAAGACAAGCATTATCCACAATAACCAAAGTCCAGAATCAACCTAAATGTCTATTGATAGAGGAATGGATAGAGAAAATGGGGCAATATACACAACAGAATATTATTCCACCTTTAAAGAGAAGTTATTCCTGTCATTGGTGACAGCATGGATGAACCTGAAGGGCATTATGCTAAGTAAGCCAGACAAAGACAAATACTGTGAAATACTTATATGTGAAATCTAAAAAAATTTAAAAAGAGGAAAAAAAGTGGAATCCATAGGAACAGAATGTAGAATAGTAGTTTCTAGGTGTGGGAGGGGAAATATGAAAAGGTTGGCCAAAGGGTAAAAACCTTCAGCTATAAGATGAATAGGATCTGAGGATCTAATGTCTAACAGTGACCGTACTTGACAACACTGTATAATGTAAATGAAACTTGCTAAGAGAATTTACATATTCTCACCAAATAAAAGGGATGAGGGACGTAAAATATGTGAGGGGATGAATGTGTTAATTAACTCAATGGGGGAATCCTTTCACAACATATACATATAGCATACCGTCAAGCTGTACACTTTAANAAGAAAAAGAGGAAAAAAAGTGGAATCCATAGGAACAGAATGTAGAATAGTAGTTTCTAGGTGTGGGAGGGGAAATATGAAAAGGTTGGCCAAAGGGTAAAAACCTTCAGCTATAAGATGAATAGGATCTGAGGATCTAATGTCTAACAGTGACCGTACTTGAAAACACTGTATAATGTAAATGAAACTTGCTAAGAGAATTTACATATTCTCACCAAATAAAAGGGATGAGGGACGTAAAATATGTGAGGGGATGAATGTGTTAATTAACTCAATGGGGGAATCCTTTCACAACATATACATATAGCATACCGTCAAGCTGTACACTTTAAATATAATTTTATTTGTCAAAAATATAAAGAAGAAAAATTTATGACAACTTAAAATGTATTTCAATATGTAAATTATCAGGTATTTTGCATTTAAGAAGATAATAAAATTTTACCTATAATATCAATTGACATGAATCTCAAGAAAGATACATGCAGACTCACACAGGTATAATTTATTGGATGCTCAAATACCATGAAAAAGTTTCCTGAAATGGTAGATAAAATGCACAAAATATAGTCCTCCCTGTTTGAGCACAATAGTTACAGTTAAAAGTTAATTAAAAGGGGGAAATTGAATTTTAATATCTCTAGTATATCAATTAAGGAAGCTTAGAGGATTCATATCACAGACAATACTATAGCAAATTGATTGCTTTCTATACAATCACTAGTTCACAGGCTAGACTAGCTGTGTGCTGGAGTAGGCTGGTGCTGGCTTCCAAGGGCTGATTATATGCATCTCTCCTCAACTCATATAGAGACATCTTGTTGGTAGCTTAAAATTAGCTGCGGTTGAAGTAGTTACCCCGTGGAAATCTGCAAACACTGCAAATCAGTTTTCTTACCCCCAAGTGCCAGTTGTTAATCATTTTATTAGCATACCACTGGCCATTAGGCTTGCTAACCTGGTGTAGGGGACATATATTAAGTAGAGAAAAAAAGCATCTCATTACCATGGATTATGGGAAGAAAGATGACAAAATAGAGCAAGTGCCAGGTGCTGGCTTCTGTTTCTCTTCTTAAATTTGTTGCTGAGCTTTAAGTGGAGTGACTAAGAATGGCTGTGACGTTAGCAATAGGGTTAGCTTTCTCCTCATGTAACAATGAGGGGTTTTAGGCTCAAGGAGAGTGACAAGCTTCAGCTGGGAGCCATGCCCAACACTGCTAAGGAGAGATATCTCAAAGGCACTTGTGGATGTGGGGTATATCTATCAAACTGAGGCCAGGTTCCTGGTTTCCCTTGACCTGTGTCTGGTGTTTAGAGGGCCTCATAGATCTGATGTGCTTTCATATTTGCCCAAAATACTATATGGGGTCCCTCATCCCTTAGAATTCTCAAGTCCAAAAGGCAGATTGGGTGGCACTTCCCAACGGTCTCAGACACCAGCTGTCTGGAGGACATTGTGTGGATCTGCAGAACCTTCCTCCCTAATGACAAGAAAATATAGTAAGCTGGCCTTATACACATCTTATGGGAACAAAGAGGCAAGAGTAAAATCTGAAAGACTGAACAATTCCCTAAAGAAATGCAGTTATCAAAATGTATTATTGAAATCAGCCATCAGAGGGAGTTGAAATGGAAAAATAAATCTTCTGCTTTGCCTTGAAAGAGACAGAAATATTGTCCATTGGAAAGTCTACAATGTTCACACTATCTGGTGTGTCTGTGTGACACAGGCAGGCATGACCGTGAACAATGCAGTCTTTGATGCGATAAAGAGGCTACATTTGTCTTGCATAACCATATTGTAGAGTACATGCTTTTGTGACCTGGCAACAGAAGGAAGGACTGGCTAACAATTAAAGCCACTTTAAAATGAAAAGATCAGCTTTGAGAGTTAGTGATGTTCCTTCGCCAAGGGTGTTCTAACTGAGGATAGACAATCATTTAGTAGGATTTACCAGCGTCAGCCATGAAGCAAGGTAAAGCAAGGGAGTGGGGGTGAAGGTTGCAGTTAAATGCAACACAGAGAGAAGTATTCAGTAGATAAAGGGAGGAAGGTTAAAATAAAGGAATGAAGGGTTGATTCAGTGTGGATCAAAGTTGAATTCAGTAGACAGAGTAGTCTAATACCCAAAGTAAACTCTAAGGAAACTCCCAAACTCTTAATAATGGAAAGGAGAGTGAAATACTGCATATGTAGGTCTGGAAAAGCTTTTACTTTAAAGATTGAGCTCTTCTTGCACCTAAGAAGATCACTCTCATAACAGGCTGTGTGCTTGTGGATCGCTCTGTGTTTCTAAACCTTTGTTTGACCCATTGGTCTCTTTCATATCTACTGATCTCACTCCCCAACCAGTGTGTCTTGGCTCCTTCCCCACTACAGTGTTCCAATCAAAATAATACTTTACCTGCTATCTTGGATCTTGACTTTAAGTTTCTACATTTTGGTCATATTACTCTTCCCTGGCCATACATTTTTGGGTATTGTCTTAGGCTGCTATAACAAAAGTACCATAGATGGTCCTGGAGGCTGGAAGTCCAAGATCAAGGCACTAGCTCATTTGGTATCTGGTGAGAGACCTCTTCTTGGCTGCAGATGGCGGACTTCTGTGTCCTCACATGGCAAAGGGGTAGAGAGAACTCTGAAGTCTCTCCGTGGTCCCGTTCGTGATGGTTCCACCTCCTAATACTATCACAGTGGGGATTAGGATTTCAACATATGAATTTGGGGGAAACATATCTTTATGTCCTTCCCCCAGTTAGTACCTTTTTCTAAGGAAAGACATTGTGCAAAATATTACCGTAACTAGGCACAAACCTCAAGCAAACACCTAAATGCATAAATTATAAACATTTCAAATAAGGAACCATAAGAAAACTTAGCATAAAATATTTAGTTATAGTAGTAATATTTTTATTTAAAAAATAACATGGTTTAAAATAGACAAATGTTTTTCTTACAAAATCTACAAAAATATCCAAATTATATTAAGAAACATTCATCAAAATAACAACAATGCTAGGTTCAATGAGTATACATCTGTGCTAAAGCAAATAAAGAACTACAGATTACTAAAGAGAAATTACCCCATTCTCCCCAAATGATCTGAAATTTTCAAGTAGGCTGGAAATAAAACACTATCCAATTTTCCAGTCTCAAATTTTGAACTCACTGATTCTCACTGAAACTTTATTTTTAATCATATTTCTCTGATCCCGAATCAAGCCTTCTTAGAAAAGATCTTTTAAATATTCCAGAAGAAATGAACAATTCTTCACCTGAGTGTTTATTTCTTTCTTCTTGGACCATGGCCTGAATTTGGTTTGGGAAAGAGGCACAGTTCAGATTTTTCCATGGGCCTTCTTGACCTACACAAGTCGGCTTGCTATAAACCAAACCCCTGCAGCTTTCCTATCCTGGCAAAGCTGGGAAAGCCATAAATATTTTTGGCAAAGCAGATCCTAAAATAAGACAAGGTTTTTTATTTCAAGATCACATAACATTGGTCAAAGTGGCATACTGAGGCAACTAGCTAAAACATATTTTTAAAGCAAATATGCAGTGATATAGAAATATTTCTCACACTAATCCATGTCAATGATCTAGTTTAAGTTTTAGAACACTAGACTATATAGAATGCATTGTTTCAGGTGGAGATTATAAACAGCATTCAATTTGTTAGATGAAAGTAAAGGTGATGTGCCATTAGCCACTCAGAAACGGAGCTAATACCTAGTCAGGCCTGAAGTCCCAGAGGCTTCAGAGCACCCCCTGACCAGTGGGTTCCAACCTTCAGTGTGTTTCAGAATCAACTGGGGGATGTGGTTAGGTTTCAGCCCCAGAGTTTCTGATTGACTAGGTCGAAAGGTAGACTGAACATTATTATTTCTAACAAATTGCCTGGTGTTGCTGATTCTGCCAGCCCCTGGATCACACTTTGAAAACTATTGCATTAAACTGACTTGAACGTCATAGCAACGCTTCAGAGGGAAGAGAACCTCAAGGTCACATCCAGATTGCAATTTCATATAATGCTTACTTGTGCTGAATTTACTAAAATCTTGCAACAGCCACTTACTTGATGAATATTTGATATTCAGTTGGTTGAGGGATGATCATTTGTGCTGCTTAAGTTCAGAATTTGAAAGGTAATTGGGAGAAGTCAGAGCAAAGAGCCCATCACAAACCCAGGACTCACATTTATTTATTCTCCACAGGTTTCATTACCACCC